GTGGGAGTAGCTCAACAGAAAGTGGGTTTAAGGGGCTGGTCCCATTCCCAGGTCCCATTCGAAAGAAGGCTAAAGGAAAAGGAGTTGAGCCAGTTGAGATACATAGGAGGAAAAAGAGGGCAGGACGGAGAAGGCAAGCACTGAGGGGGCCGGTGTTGGAGAGAATCGAAAAACGAATATTTCATTTCAGGACTTCGGTGGCTTCTGAGAATCGGCTACCAAATCTGGCAAAGACTGCGAAGTAATGGTAGGAACACCGAGGAAAAGGGTAAAAACGTTATTCGTAAAACCTCAGTGCAATAGAAAATCCAGTTATAAAGTTCGCCAGACTAGACGACATAATGGGACGGGATGGGTTTCACCCAACGCCCACGACGAGCAGCGTTCTCACCGCCGCAGTCTGACATTGTTCGCAAAGAAAAAAGCAGGAAACAAGAGGGGAAAGAAAAAATGAGAGAAAAAGGTAAGGCCAGGCCACAATCTTATCGATTCCCTTCAGTGGCACCAGTGCTTTTTGTTGTTGAGGGCGCATCTCCATTTTACGGGTCCAGACCTCAGGACCTGGTCCTAACACTAGTCAGGGAAACGAGCACCTCTATCATTGGGTTAACTGAGTAACAAATTCTGGCCCTATACCGTCGAAATAAAGCCATTTTAAAAAAAAAAGTTCGACAATGAATGAAAGGATGGTAGGAAGAATGAATACTATACTTTCGGATACTATCGGTCTCTTTAAAGAGCATGAAATACAAATAAAATAATATACAAAATACAAAAGTATGAACCCAAATACAAAAGTCATGAACATTCCATGAAAAATAGCTTTGAAAAAACGAAAAAATGATTTCTAACAAAATGGAAATGAAGGTTGACAAAACTCTCCCGATTAGGCGTATTTTCAGAAACACGAGTGACTGACCTGTTCTTGAAGATGTCAAGAATCCTCTGCATGACGTGGTGGATAGTCCTGATCCAGTGTGGGCAATGCTCAAAATGACGCAATGACGAAATAAATGCTGGGGAATATCGATCGAATTCTGCGGTCGCATTCAAGGGTAGATCAAAGCTATTACATAGGTACCGCATTGCACCGCACTGGAAAGGATGCCTCAGCTAACAGTCCCAACCCAAAGTTCCCGGGCTTACTAAATTGAGGACAAGCCCCTCTTCAAACCCCAACAGCAAATTCATTCGAGGGGCAGAGATGGAACAGTGCCAAGTGGATCACCACCACTCCTATGGTCGGAAGATCGAATCCCGGATCGATACTCACCCAGCCAACCGAGATTTTCATCCTTTTGGGGCCACTTATTGGGTGACAGATTCGTCTGGGAGGATAAAGAGCACTGACTTGTACATCGGCTGGCCATAGCAAGACATTGTAACGGCCTCACATGTATTCAAACATCTTTGCAAATCCGAGTAGGGTTGAATGCGTGGCGCACTACTAAATTTTACCAAAGCGAAAAACTTCATTTTCTGGGCCCTAATTAGTTGATTTTTTTTCGATTCTCTATAGTTATGAGAGCCAATTAAACCAACTACACATATGGTTGAACGCTGTAACAGCCTCCCGCTGCCAAACTTTTTGCCCATAACTGGGGTGCATTACAATAATAACTGAGTTACCGCGAGAAAGTGCAGTTCACATAGCCGAATGAGTTTTTGTGGAGCAATCAGCCTCACTACCTTGGCCATTGTGTCCCAGAGTTTACGTCTGCTATCCCTTGTACTTACATAGGGGCTGGGGCTACTGGGACTTGGTGTTTTGGTAGATCTGTTGAACTACTGATTGCTGCAGAAGCCCGAGTATCTCACAGTCTGAAGTGTTCTGACCCTGTGGTGAGATGCGCCCCGCTGTCGACTTCCATTCAGCATTGTAGCGGTGTATTGAAAGAGTATGTAGCCGTTACAATGACCTGCGGTGGCCAGTCTATATACAAGTCAGTGCTTTTATCCTCTCAGACGAGTCTGGTATCAATTAACCGACCCAGGAGGTATTGAAGAGTGGGTTGATCTGGGCGAGTGTCGATTCGGGATTCGATTCCTGGACTTCGCGCTTGTGATAGTGCGCCACTTGCCACTACTGCCACTCAGCTCCGTTCTAGGAGTTGTAGGAGTCGAAACAACTTTAGAAGTATTGCTGGTAATGATATAAGTGCATAATGAATGAACCTCAATGACCTAGGATCTGTTCTGATGTGACCACGATTGACATTAGATGAATCTTGGCATGATACAGTCTCGATATTTTATACATTT